CATTAGGGGAGAAACAAAAGCAATTGGAAAATGAGATAGATTGGAATGTAATTTCACTATCTCATTTAGATCCTCGAACAAATCAATGTGAACAAGAGGTTTAAAAGATGATTTATTTGCAAATCAATTGCCAGATGCATTTACTTACCTTTTATACTAAATCTCATGTTTCATCTACAAATGCTCTAGTTCGAGTTGATATTTCGATAGAACAATCTCTTAATGCAAATGAGTCTAGAGCATGTCTGAAATGTTGTAGACCAATTGGTTTTAAGGATAAAAATCCTTGAAAAAGAAAAGGAGAAAATGATCATAATATGAAAGCGAGTGCTCAAGGAGAGCCTCAAGACATAACAAATGATGAGACAATAGAAAATGTTGAGATATCTGAAAATAATAAAAATGAAGAGATTTCAGTAAGTTATGTCTCGACAGGAAAAAAGTGGAACTGAAATGATGTTATGGTTGATAACATTTTTGCTTATAATGTTGCTACTGAAATAATGCAACAAGATGAGGATCATAAACCAAAATCTGTCGATGAATGTAGACAGAGAAATGATTGGCCAAAATGGAAGGACACAATTCATGCAGAGTTGACTTCACTTGAAAAACGTGAAGTTTTCGGATTAATAATCCGAACACTTGAAGGTGTCAAGCCAGTGTGTACAAATGAGTTTTTATGCGAAAACGAAATGAAAAAAGGTGAAGTCGTAAGATATAAAGCACCACTTGTGGCTTAGGGATATTCGCAAAGGTCTGGCATTGACTATGTAGAAACATATTCTTTTGTGGTAGATGCAATTACATTCAGGTATTTAATGAACTTGGCAGTTCATGAAAATCTTGAAATGCACCTAATGGACGTGGTCATTGCCTATTTATATGGCTCATTGGACCACAATATTTTTATGAAAATTCATGAAGGATTCAAAGTGCATGAATCATACAATGATTCTCGAGAAACTTGTTCAATAAAGCTTCAGAAATCCTTATACGGATTGAAACAGTCAGGAAGAATATGGTATAATCGTTTTAGCGAATATTTGCTAAAAGAAGGATTTAAAAATGATCCAATTTGTCCTTGTGTCTTCATGAAAAAGTCTGGATCTGAATTTGTCATAACAGTTGTATATGTTAATGATTTGAATATCATTGAGACCCCTGAGGAGGTTTCAAAGGCATTTAAATTTCTGAAAATGAATTTTGAAATGAAAGACCTCGGAAAGACAAAAATTTGTTTTGGACTACAAATTGAACATTTTGAAAATGAGATATTTGTTCATTAATCAACATATACTGAGAATATATTAAAGAGATTTTACATGGATAAAGCACACCCATTGAGTAGTCCGATGGTTGTGAGATCTCTTGATATTAATAAGGATCCATTTTGATCTCATGAAAATCAAGGTGAACTTGTTGGTGCTAAAATACTATATCTTAGTGCAATTGGTGCATTAATGTATCTTGCTAATAATTCTAGACCAGATATAGCTTTCTCGGTAAGTTTTTTAGCAAGGTTTAGTTCTTCTCCAACACGAAGACACTGGAATGTGATTAAGCATATATTCAGATACCTCAGAGGGACTATTGATGTGTGACTGTTTTACTCTAATGAATCCAAGTCACAATTGATTGGTTATGCAGATGCAAGATATTTGTCTGATCCCCATAAAGGTCGATTGTAGACATGCTATTTATTTACACGTGGTGGTACAACTATATCATGGCGTTCAACAAAACAAACTATGGTTGCCACTTCTTCAAATCATGCAGAGTTAATAGCCATTCATGAATCAAGTCGAGAATGTGTTTGGTTGAGATCAATAACTCAACACATTCAAGAAACATGTGGCCTTTCTTTGGAAAGAGATGTTCCAACAATATTGTATGAAAACAATGCTGCATGTATAGCTCAACTAAAGGGAATATACATTAAATGAGATAGAACAAAACATATTTTACCAAAATTCTTTTTCACTCATGATCTTCAAAAGAAAGGTGATATACATGTTCAACAAGTTCGTTCAAGTGATAATTTATCAGATATGTTTACTAAGGCATTGCCAACTTCAACCTTTGAGAAATTGAGTTACAAAATTGGAATGGGTCATCTTCGATATATTAAATGATGTTTTCATCAGGGGGAGTAAATATGCGTTGCACTCTTTTTCTCTTAATCAAGATTTTTGTCCCATGGGTTTTTTCTTGATAAGGTTTTTAATGAGGCAGCAAACAATGCGTATTTAGAATAACTATGTACACTTTTTTTTTCTAGATTTTATTTTGTACTTGGACATCCAAGGGAGAGTATAGTAAATAATAAAATGTGGATGTCATGTAGAAAATCCACACTTCATGACTTTTAGAGATTTGAGCATGACTATAAGGGATTTAAGCATGACTTTAGAAGATCTCCTTCATGACTTTGAAGGATTAGAGATATACTTAGTTTCTATATATACTCATCTTATACGTAGACACAAATGCATTGAAAGATTGGAAGAAAAACATTGTTGCTCTTTTTCACCATTTCTTTGTTATTTAATTATACTTTATTTTATAACACTACTTCCTATTTCCTAGATCTCCCTTCCTCTACTATTTTTGTTCCTCTTTTCTTTGCTTAGCGCTTGCCATAATATTCCATCTCTTCTTCTCTAATCTTGCTATTCAAGTTTTAATATATTATCTTTATTTTAGAACAATGAGTATATTTTTTCACCAACTTGACTTATATTTCAACTTATAATACCTAGATATTTATCAAATTTCTTCTAATATGTACCTATTTTAGTATATGTATCATAATTTAATTAGAAGTAGTTTCCTATTCCCTAGTACATGAACAAATGCAAATATACATCTTTGCACTGATATTTTAATTAATACATGAACTCATATCACAAAAGACTATAGAGAAATAAGTAGAAGTGTTATTCAAGTCTTGAAATTAAAATTGATGACATCAACTTGGTCAAATGAAATTAAATGAAAGGTAGACTTAGTTAGAGTAATTAAAAACTGAGGTGTATATTAATATTTCAATATTTTTGAAAAATCTTCTCTCCTAATTTAAATTTCGAATTTTGAGAATTTCCCTCTTTCATTATCTTTAATTTACAATTTTCCTTTCTCTCTCTTTCCGATTTCTCTCTTCCACCGTCTTCTTCTTTGTCATTTTTGTTGCTGCCATCGTCGATGTTTATTATTTTTTATTGCGATCTTTTTCTATCCTTATTTTTACGAACTGTTTTTCTTGAATTTTGAAAATATTGAAGAGTTTTTTTATTTGATTTTTTTGAAGTTATTGAAGAAAATCTGTAGAGAATTAAACAACAATGATAGTTGTTGTAGTAGCTATGATAGTTACTACGATGGTTGTTGCACTAGTAGGTATCATAGTTACTGTAGTAACTTCAACAATTGTTTGAATTGTTACACCAATTTCAATAATTATTTGGGTATTTACAACAATTAATTGAAATTGTTACAAAAAATTTAGAATATATTGTTGCAACAACTTTGACAGTTATTTAATTCTCTAACAGAAAGTGAGGCGTGGAGGAGTAGATGATGAAGGGGAGGGTTATTGTACTGACAAAGAAAGTGTTGGTGTTGGTGGTGGCGTCGAAGGAGGAGATTGTGCTTATTGCAGTGGCGGTGGTGGAGGAAAAAGAGGAGGCAGTGATAGTGTTGGTGGAGAAAGAAAAAGAAAAAGCAGTGGTGGTTGTCACACCTCAAATCCCATTGAGACGGACAACCACCCAATTCCTTAAAGGCCTGAGAGAACCAACTGATAACTTGTACTCTCTATGCGTATAACTATGACAATTATGAAGCTTTGACAAGTATATATAAGATACAGTTGTAAAAAATCAACATACATATGCACAAAATTTATGTACATGACTTGGTCGTTGAGGCCACAACTGTTAAGGAATCAAATATAACTCCACTTTATACATTAATCCAAAAGGCCTCTATGAAATAGACAAGTTGGAACGGGCCCACTTTACCCTCAATACAATACCAAAATACATATACTAAAGACTCAGTAATGCCCCGAATCAACCTGGAGCTCACAAAAAATAGCTGAGTATCATGTGCTTCTATTGAGAAGCTCTACTAATTGGAGTATCTGAGCCTGCATCATAAAATGTAGCGTCACTTGTGAGGGACGTCAGTACGAAAGAATATACTAAATATGTAAGGCAATAGCATATGTAAAAGTCAACATATAAATGCATAGATCAAAATAAAATACCACATTTTTCCTACTTTTGTGGGATCGTGTATGTTACATTCTTTTCTTTACTTTTTTGTGCTTTATAATATTTGTAAGACATGTGATAAAAATGATCAACTGATTAGTGGTAGAAAAGGATGACCCATGTTAGCCGTTTTAACCCCAAGGATGTTGTCCTAATAATTACACATATTAAGATTGATCCATGCTAGGCTTCTGTCTGGGCGGCCACCTTATATACAATTTGAGATCGATTCATGCTGGGCTTTTTTCGCAGGCTGTCACCCATAAATATTCAGATTACTTCACTAAGTATTTATAATCTTTGAGATTATTATTTTGGTGGTCATAATCATTTTTGTGATTCGGAACTATGGACCAGTAATAGAAGACATGTGAATAATCACTTTAAGACAATACCAATGGCATAAGAAGCAATGTAACATCAATGAATTACTTAGGAACTTAAATGGTGCGATTGACTTCAATTGACTAAGAGGGGAATTCACCAAGCTTGCTGTTGTGAATACCATTTCTATACTAGCACATAAAAGGATAAATCCACAAATGTAGAGTAATGAACGTATATTGAAGTAATCCACAAATGTAGAGGAGAAAATATCGTTAGCTATGTTGGAGATCGTACATTGTCACTATATTTCCTTTTCTAGGAATAGGGCTGAAAAAACTCACTTCATTGATATTAATCACAAATATCAGTTTTCACATCAAGGAATATTGAATCGAATAATCTTACATACTTTGTTTCTTGATCAATACAACTACCACATTTCAGCCTCCCCTTTAAGGCGTTAATCTACAATATAAGTCATGACGAAACTAATGTTAGCAACTAATCACATTATAGCCTCGTAAAACAATAGTTAAACACTTCACAGATAGTAAACTCATACAACCTTTACACAACTGGTAAATCATTATACCCTTCTTTTATACATTAATACAACTTCATATATCCTTTGTCAAGATCACCAAGCTTCCCACCATCAACAATACACATAAATCAATCATTAACAACCTCAAACAAATCCTACATCAAAATAAGAGAATATTGAGTTCAAGGATTCTGATCCATTCATGAATTCTTGACAAAAATATACAAAATTCTCCTCCTAAATTTGTATTTAAGGAATGACATAAATGGGAAGTAGCCTTACCTCAATTTCTGTAACTTGTCCTTTGACTTAAATTCTTCAAGAACTTCAACTTCCCTTCACACTTGTATAAAGGGAGAAGAGAAAAGTCTCTTAATAACCAAGAAAAGTGAGTAGTTAGCTTGTGGATAAATTCTGCTCTATACTTATACTTAAGCATGAATAATATGTTTTTCTAGTCTTTTATGGGAGAATTAAGTTAAATCCATAAGTATTTTCTCTTACCTTGGTTTGCAGATATGAGGGTTTCTTCAAGGATCCTAGGAGGAATTTTAAGACTGTTATTTTAAGCCTTGAGAGAAATGGAGATATCTAGAGTTAAATCTGACTCTTTTTAAGTTTTAAAATGAGTGAAAAGACCAGCTTATATTGGTCTTATATGGCGCCTTCTTGACCCTTGAAAAAAAATCCTCTAGAACCTCCCTTTTTTTTGTTCCATTTTCAGCCACCTAGTAGGTAATACACCTACTTGTCTTTTTCTTAGTTGGACTTAACTAGATCGGGCCTTGGCAGATTTGAATGTTGGGCACTTTTTCATTTTTTTTCCCTCTTACCTAGTTTGGGCCTCAAATGAGTCCATGACATAGGCCTAAATCTGATCCATCAGCCTTGAGCCCTTTAATTAGATCTATAAAGCTCAAGTAGGTGATGCACCTAGTAGCGTAATTAAGTCAAACAATCAGCTCACTATTTTATTTTATTTTCTTAATCTTAATCTCTTTTGCCTTGGCTTAACACTTAACTTTGAACTTTAGGCTCAATTATCACTTTACTATCTTGAGTTTAAATACTTTCATCGAGGATACTTGGCAGTACATACTGAAATGTGTGGGGCATTACAACACCTTCCGATCTAATTCAAATCATCACTGCTCATATAAGAACCTTGATCCCTCACCTATACGATAAGACTGTCAAGTATCATATAAATAGAATCAACATATGAATAATACAAGGTGTTACAATGGTGATGGTGTAAGAGGAGGAGAAGAAGGTGGTAGAGGAGGTGTTAGTGACGACAGAAGGGTTGGGAAGCAGAGGGATGCAAAGGAAAAAAATAGAATCTTTATGTAAATAATAAAATTTGAGGGTTTTAAAATTAGTGTCATTAACACTAATTTAAAATTATCATCTCTAATCAATAATTAAGACTTGTATCACTTTGTTTTTTTTAAAAAAATTGAAGCTTTTTTTGTCACTGTTAATTATTTTTCTCAAAAGACTTCTTCTTTTTTTCAACACAAGATTCATTTTCCATCAATAATTTGTTACTTTTCAGCATAATTCAAACACTAGCGGAAATGCATATGCTTTAATTTTATTGCTTTCGAATTAACCATAGGAGAAAGCAATTATGAACATAATTTATATATGATCTCAACTATAATATCACCAAATTAATTAGTACTTAAATATGGTATCTGCAAAAGGGAAGCAGCACTCGTGTAGACAGAACAATTCCAACGAAAAAAGCTTTTTCTTTTGCCAACTTTTGACGCAAATTTCAAAGTTTCAACAATACTATACTTAATTTAGGAGAAAAGGTTATGACCAAATAGTATGAGCACGTTAGGAATACAGTAACCAGGAAGGTTCGTTATATTTACATACAAGCAGAAATGACATACAATATATGATCACGTATTCTCAATTCAGAATTCAAAGGGTCTAAACTCTGAATACTCTATGGTGTGTGTAAGCATCATATTTGGGTGCAAACACTCTTCTTCCAGATCACTTATAATCTCGGCTCTCATAATTATAGGATCGCTTATCGGTTTAAAGATACTATGTTACTTTCTTTGTCAGCTGCGAAAGAGAAGGCAATCTCACAGCAATCATTCAGATTCTGGTGCAGGAAGTGAATCGCAGTTGCAGCCACAACAAAGCCAGCAACAGAGTTAGAGGAGTTGAACAGACGATTCGAAACTCAGCTAATGAAATTGGCTTAAGCAGACAATTATTGCTTGTCTCAATTTTATCTTGTTTGTAGCTTAGCAAGTTCTCCCATTCTATAATGTTTACTTTCTACAATCAAGAATGTCACAAGGCTGAGTAACCATGTTGAAGTGGCAGGGCATACATTTTTCAGTTTTTCATTAATGTTCGTGTTGTCTTAATATAAATGGGGTCGTTTACTCTGATACTATGTTGAATTATCTTTAAAAGCTTTAAATTACAACTACAACATAATTCCCAATGAAATCCCACATATGGGGTTTGGGGAGGGTAGAGTCCGAAGTGAACTCAGTTTTTGAAGACTTCAGGTGCATCAAATAACACTCTAAGTGGATTCGAACTCAGGTCTCGTAGGTGGTTCCTCTGCCTTGTACCAGCAGCACAAGAGCACTCCTATGCTCCTCATGGGTGCACTATTAATTTTGTCCTAGTTTCTGTCAGTTTCTCAAGATAGATATACATATATACACATGATCTTTTCCAAAGTTAACGGGTGCACGTGCACCCCCACTAATAAAGGTGGGTCCGCCTCTGGGTTGAGTGTACGCAAGGCTTACCACTATCTCGTGGAGGTAGAGAGGTTGAATCTGGAGAGTAAGCAAAACATTAACTCCCCGGAAAAGTTATTGGTTATGGATTTAGTACAATGTGCTACAACTCAGTCCCCCTGGTATAGAGAGGAATTAAAAATGGTAAAAATAGGAAAAAGTATATACAGTGGATTACAAAGTCAACTGATAGTAAATTTAGATATTACAATACAAATTAAAAGGAAGATTAACTATAAAAAGAGTACTAGAATATTTATTTACTTGCTTAGTTGATATGTTGCTGGATCTCAATCTGTGAGGACATGGTATAAAGAATACATTGGCCACTTTTACTCTTATCTCAATGTTGAAAACAGGGCAAATCTGTACCTATATATTGTCACAATTAAAATCTTGAATCCGTCTCTGGTTAAAAACAACGCATATTGCAAGAAAAAAATAAAAAGGGTGTCTACATTTAAGCGATTTCAAAATATTCGCAAGCATTCTGTGAAGAACCTTTGCCCTTATCGCTAATGCTAGTGCGTCTCACACGCCACATCTTGAGTACTCCATCAAGACTTCCTGTGCAAACGGTGCAACCATCTTCATTCTCCTCGTTCACTAGTCTAGGGAACGCGGCAACACACCTAATAGGCCCTCTATGGCCTTGCAAAATGGCCACACAAACATGTTGACAATCTTGTTGCTCCCTAAACCACACCCTACATGTTGAGTCAGCTGAACCACTGACCAAATAATTAGCCATACTAGCCAAACACATAACAGCATGTGTATGTCCAAGAAGTGCACCTCCATATTGTAATTGCCCTGAAAACCAACCTTTTAGCCAATAATGAATGTAACCATCACTACACCCTCCATAAAGCACCCCACCATCAGTTGTTAAGGCTAATGTCTTTACTGGTGAACATTTTGCTGGTAAGGTAACAGTGAGGGAATGTGGCCTATCACCACTACAGAAATTACGACGCCATACACGAACCGTGGCATCATCAGAAGCAGTATAGAGAACACCATCATCACCAACAACAATATCGTTTATCGGATCGTTATGAGCTTGGATTGTTTCTATGCATTTGAGGTCCGAAATTCTCCATACTTTTACTGTTCTATCAAGGGAAGCTGAATAAAGAATGTCATCTGATATGTTAATTGCTAGTGATGATATTGGTCCCATATGCTTCATCTGTCATAATTCATTAAAATACATTAATATTTCTAGCTATACAGTAGAAGATAATGAACTATTTTGGTTAGACAAAAAACTCAATGGTTCAAAAATGCATTAAATTAGATGCCTACAGTGCTTTAATCAGAAAGCTGTAGTTGCATATGTAATAATAAATATGCTACCAACCAACATCAGTTGTGGTGCATTGGTGAGACTGTTTCACCCTTAACTAGATGTCTCGAGTTCGAGCCCTAAATATGGAAAAAATCCTGTTGAGAGTTTGCTGCAATTAATACAGTGCTAGAAATAAATATGCTACCAGAACTGTCCTAGTCACTGTTTAGTTTGCTGCAATTAATACAGTGCTGGAAATGTCAAAAGCAATAGTGGCTTCAACTTCTTTTTTTTGAACTCAAACCAAATACAGATATTCTGAATAGATAGCTACCTAATGACATAAAGATTTGCACCAGCTGAGGAGTTTTTCTATTTGTCCTTGGGACATAAGCTTTAAAATTGAAAAAGATAGTTCAACTGATTTCCAAAAGGCTTAATACATAGTCATTATCTGAATATTTTAATTAGATGTTTGAATTAAGTCTTGTTCCAATCGAACATCTCAAACTTTTAATAAAGTGGTTTAATTAGACAATTTCGATTCAAATTTCTGGAGCATATATATTTTGATTCGAATCCTGTTAGGTAATTAAGTTAACCACATAAAATATGTCATCTCTTTTAGTTATACGGATCAACCTCAAGTAGAAAATGCCTAGGGTTTTACATTTCATTGAGACAAATGCGCATATAATTAATAGAAATGACATAGTTTATATGGTTAATTTAACTATCTAATAGACCAATAAGAACACACACAAAAAAAATTCAAAATTTGAGCAATACGAATTAATGACTTCGTCAGTTCGCCTGAAATACATTTGAACTAATTTGTATTTATGTAATATGAGACGTATGTGTCTACTTGTTCAACTTTATACAGATTTTCAAATTGAAGCGTACTATGCTAAATAGAATCATATCACATACAAACAAAAAAGTTGTTATATGCATAATAAAATTGCTACAGCATGTTACTCCAGCAGAGTATTACAGTGAGAGAAGCAGTATGCCATCTTACAGTACTGTACCATTAATGTACGCATTAACTTTTAACTACTATGTTCGATTCATATTATCTTTCTTTTAAGATTTTCGCAAAAAATATTAAAATAGAAAATTATAATGTTGAATAACTGTGGAGGAAAATTACCATTTTATCTCTACCGGAGATATAGCTTCGAACATAACTCCCAACCTTCGGAATAGTTGCAACTCGTACATGCTTGATTACACCTTCCCAAGTCCTCCGCCACACTCGAATCTTACAATCACCATAGGCTGCGTAAATCATGTCATTCGACACTTGTAACGAAACCACCATGGACGATGCCCTGGTCTTAAGATGATCACACTCAGTAAACTCTGGCAACTTCCACACACGTATTAGATTAGCTTGAGACCCCGTGTATACAAGACCGTTGGATACAGCAACGGACAAGATCTGTCCGTCCTTTTTCAGGACAGAGGAAATGCACCTATAACTCGTTTGATGAAAATCCGGGTGATCCTCATCTACTGA